GGAGGTCCCTAGGAGATTTTTGGAAAGAAGGCGAATTTCACACACCTCAGATTCCCTCTTTTCCTCTGTGGCTTAGACCTAGAACTGATAGTTTCGGTGTTGTGAAGCAGTGTTACGCCCCCACCCCCCAACCACATTGCGCCAAGATGTCTTGTCCCATCTTTCGTATGGCTAATTTACTGAGCTTGTCCGATGAAATCGCTGGCTGAATGAAGAATCGTGACGATTTCTACCACTGCCATCTTTAGCATAACTTGAATTCCAGAAATCTCCTGGGTGCGTACGAGCTCTCCACGATGTCGACAGCGCCTGTCGAGGTTGCCGAAGAGGCCCTCGAGAAGAAGGTCGAAGCGATGAAGATCGTCGATGGGAACAATATGGAGGTTAAGAAAGGAACCACCACCACAGACGGCAAAACCGAACGTCGCGAGCGTAGAGTGAGTAATGCGTAACACTTCTCTTAGGTACTGAAGTTTGACCCGGGGATGATTTCAGTTCGCCCGCATGACTGATGAAGAACGTCGCCGTATTTGGGAGGAGGAGCAGATGACAAAGAAGGTAGGTATGCTTAGTTCAGATTTGCTTTGAACCCCTTCAAGACTAATCTGTAGTGCATCTTTGCCTGTTCAGAGATGTCCGCTTGCGCGAAAAAACGCATAGGCGAAACAATGTGAAATATGTATCGACTGAACGAAGACGCACAGGCGAATCGTGAAGTGGGAGGATCGACGAAAATGAGTATCATACGCATCGACTTACGAACGCTTCGCTCACGCGATTTTCCGCCTGTGCGTTTCTCACAGTCGATACATATCAAACTCTTGACTGAAATTCGCCTGCTCCGGACGTTTCGCTTACGCGTTTCACAATTTCTCAGTCGATGCGTATCTAAATCTTGGCGGAGATTTTCGCCTGTGCGTTTTTTCGCGCCGGCGGACATCTCTGAACAGGGGCCTTAGCTCCAGGAGTGAACCCGGGTTGTTCTAGGAAATGTTTCAAACATCTGAACTCATCTTACGCAGCTTTTCCAAAGTGCAACCCGCGTTTGAATTGGAGACTGCTTAGGCATTGTTCATAGTTTGCGCCACGAGAGGAGGACGCTCGAACCGAACGAATCTGCGCAAATGCGAAATGAATGAAGTGCGTATCGATCCACAAAATGGGAGGGGCTTCGAATCGCGCATTGGAATCTGCGAATCCTCTTGAAAGGAAATAGTGTCTATCGATCAGTCAATCGGAGATCGCAGCATCGAAACGGCGGTGCGAAAATCCTCTAGCAACGCTAATAGGGCGTGGTTTACTACGTCGATACGTATCTAAACCTTTTCGCATCCGCGTTCGCGCGTGTGCGAAATTCACCTGGTCGATACGTATCTTTTTCTTTTCGCAGATTCGAATATTCCGATGGTTCCAAAACTATGAACAATGCCTTACGAACGTTCCGTGTTGGCGATCGTACGTGGCGTTAGTCGATTTAGGCGATATCTGTAAATGAAAAATAGACGGATATCAGGACACTGTATGCGAATAGCGATAGATGAGCGCTCAAATGACGGAGAAACAAAGCGGTGCCCAATCCTTTTCTGTCGCCTAGGTGTGTTACTATGAACAGAAGCGATTTTCGCGTTTGCAAGCTCGAACATTCTCTCTGCAGAACCTCATGGTCTACCGCTCTCAGCTGGGCCCGGAGCTCCAACATGCGAATCATCGTTGACCGAGATTATCCAAGAAATACACATGTTGTTCCGTCTCGCGAGAACGCTAAAATCGCTTTGCTGTCATAGCTGAACCACACCTCTACTCGTTCACCCCCCCCCCCCAAATCCCCGTCGCTGCACATAATTTTTCTTTTGAATCTCACTGTCGCATGTACTGATAAGTCAACTCGGAACGCTCCATTATGCCGATCAAAGTTTCTTTGGCGCAATGTGGCTCAGGGGGGGCTCTGAGAAAAGTCATCTAGGACTAAGCCTAAACAGCAGGGACGAACTCCGGAGAATACGAAAATTGCTTCCGTACACCGGAGTTCCTCTCCTCTTCAAAAGCTTAGTCCTAAAACGGAGCGTTTCCGTGATTTTGACGCGATGTTGCGAGGTGCCCCCCCCCGAGCCACATTGCGCCTTTTTCTCTGTGGAAGATGCAAACGAAGAATATCCGTTGAGTTGGTCGGTAGCAGTTCGTTTGATTCTATGACATGGAATGGTGATGACCTAGGCATTTGTTTGAGTCGCGTGGAAAATAAAGAGGGGTGGAGGAACTGAACAGCTTCTATAAGATTTACCAGCCGTTAGTGATACCTCACCCAGTGGACATGAAAGTTTTCGCCGCTCTTGGTGTAGGAGGTGTAGCTGGTTGGCTGCATGAATTCCGCTATTGACAGTGGTCTGCAGTCACGGCACGTCTGTTCATGGGGAACGGTGTATAAATGTTCTGTGTTGTCAGTTAAGATATGATATAGCTGGTTTAAGGTGGTAGAGACCGGTCTCAAAGGTCATGTAAAGTGGTATTCCGTCCTTGGCCACTACGGTTTTATTTCGCGCGCCGACGGCAAGCCGGACATCTTTGTGCATCAAGTAAGTATAATGAACTTAACTTCATCAAACACTGGTTGAGAATTCCTCGGTGTATTTATACCTTTTTTGCAGAGTGCTATTTCGAAGTCACAAACTGAGAAGTTCTATCTGCGCACGTTGGCTGATGAAGAAGAAGTTGAATTCGATATCGTTGAAGGACGTAAGGGTCCTGAGGCATCCAATGTGACAGGGCCAAATGGTACGAATGTGAAAGGTTCCAAGTGAGTGTGCGATTTTACATACCTGATCAATCTGTAGACCTCAGTTCCTGCAATTGCTGTTCCACCTTCAATCATTTTAGATATCAAAGAGTACTGCTGTACCGTTTCCGTCCCAATCGACGCCAAGTGTCACGTGAAAACGACGCTGAGAAAAAGTCCCCTGCTAATACCAACCAAGCTAATGCATCGCCTGACAGCCAAGGGAAGAAACCGCTCAGGGGCAGGAGTGAGTTGAATTCCTTGGTCACTGTTGTTGTGAACTGTAAACTAATTAGCGAAGCAACCTAGTGTTATTATTATCCTTACAGTCCGGAGAGGCTAATGTACCAATACAGGGCAGGGTCGCCGTTTCCGTGGACGTCGTAACCGTCAACCGCCAACAGAGGAAGCTAACGGTGCAGCACCCGCCACTGATGGCCAGGTGGCAGCAAATGGTGAAGCCACTGGCACTACAACGGGGAAGCCGAGTGGTCCGAGACGCCGTGGCAATTACTTCAACCGTCGTTTCAGACGCCAAAGCAAGAATGAGCCTAAACGTGAAGGAGGACCTGAAATTGAGGTACTTTTAAGTATCTTGAGACAGACTACCGAAAGCGTCGTCTGCATCGAGCTTTTGTTTGTTCGATGCTATCAATTTGCATGCTTTCAGCTGGTCCTTGTTTCGATGTTAGTCTGAGGAGTTACGTTTGGCGCGGTTAAGTTCCTTCCATTCTGTGCGCCCGTCTGGAATTTGGGGAATACTCCGTTGACTGGCAAAGTGGGAAAAGCGCCAGAGTGCTGCCGCATGCTGTTTAGAGTGGAGCCAGGGCAAATGATTGAAAATGCGCTCTTCTATTCTTTTGCACTTCTTTAATTGGGATTGTATCAAGCCCTGACTGCACATCGAATACCTGAGCCGAAATGCTTTACTGGCGCTTTTCGCATTCTTCGCACCAGTGTTGGGTATGGAACATAAGGGGAACATTGAAGTGAGTGAACATTTTTATTAGGACTAGGAAGAGAGGGTGCATAAGCGACCTTTGTTCTCTGGTGTTTCTCTACGCTCCTGGGCGAAGTCCTAGATGTAACCTACCAGCGGTTTTTGGATGCTCTGTCTTGAATGTCTCCCCTAAAAGCATGACCGCCTAAACTTCACCTTCAGTTCACTTGGAAAAGTTAAAGTTAGCGCATTCAGTGGTAACAAAATCTT